ATTACAAGGTATAAAGGGGATGGCCAGTCATGGACTAATGTTGTGTATTGCTCCAGATCCCTCTTGAAACTCAACAGGCATCCCCTTGTGTGCGACTCCTGCTTGCTTACGCTGAATGCTGCAGCTTGTGTGGGTAAAAAGGGAGCGAGCGGACTGTGTGTTAGCATTACCCTCTCCTCTACTCCATCTGGCCCTTGCTTGCCACAGCTAGTCTCTCCAGCTTGGTTCCCACTGGTACCTCTGCCAGACGTGCTGCTGGAAATGGGGAAGGGGCTTTCTGCAGCGTCTGCCAATCCTGTAGAATCCCTAGTCAGCTGGCTGCTGCTTAGCACCTAGCTGGTGAAGAAAGCAAATTCTGTCCCCCAGCAGAGCTTTGCTACATTTGTCTGATGCGTAGTGCTCTCCAGCTGGGGATGGTGGCAAAGTCCTTGAGGATAAATACGAATGCTCCTCACAGGTCTGTGTCTATGTTGTGTGATCTCCATGTACGGAGAGAGGAGTGGGTCTGAGCTCCCTAAGGCAGGGGTGAGCAAATACCGGCCCGTGGGCTGGACCTGGTCTGCCAGGGTTAGTCCCTGGTTGAACCCACACCGCTCTATTTACCTGGGCCTCGACACTCATAGGGGGTTGCACCTCGTTGGCAGCATATCACCGTTCCAGCCAATGGGAGCTGTGATTATCTCATATCTGTGGAGATGCGGCAGCAGCCTATTAGGGGCTAAACCTGGTGAAGCCCTGCCCTGTGGTGTGAGGGCAGAGCTAACAGCTCTGCTGTCAGACTTGGAATAAGAAATGTCAGCTCAGCCCTGCAGATCTTGTGTGGCGCAGTGTGCGACAGACCACGGAAGCCTCAGTTGCTCACTGTGGCTCCATGTTGTGCCGGGGACATGTCCCTTGGGAGAGCAGGAGCAAGAGGCGCAGTGTCCTATGCTTGCAAGGTTCGAGTGGTAACCCTCGTGAAATATTAGAAGCAGCTGTTACCTTCCTGTGGTGACAGAGCCTCTCCCATCTCTGCTCTAGCCAGCCACGGCACTGGTGCTGCTCCTGCATAAGTCCTAGGCCACATGATGACTTTCGTGGGCCCGAGGCACTTTTGCCTTCGTGGGTCCCTTCCTCCATAAAAAAAATTATTTCAAATTATTTTTGATATAACTTTAAATACGTCAACATTTTTTTTTCTGTTTTAGGCAAAAATTAATAGATTTTCGCGGGCCCTAAAAGTTCCTTTTTTCCCCCTGATGTGAGAATAAAAACATTTTCTTCGACCCTAAAAGTTCATTTTTTTTTCTTCTAATTTTAAAAGAAATTAAAACCTTTTTGTGAGCCCCTAAAAGTATTGTGGGCCTAGGCACTGTGCCTACAGTGCCTCATGGATAAATCGGCCCTGGTAAGTCCAGCACGACAGAGCCCTCGTTCCTATCCGATAGCTTCTTACACAGGGACCCGACCACTTCACCCTGTCCTCGTGGTCTCTCCATTCTGCAGTGGCAAGCCTGCTCCACTGGAGGGCAGGGATGGCAAACACAAGGCTCTGCGGCTGTTCCCTGCCAGGAAACCTGGGAGAGAATAGAGCAGGAGACTGGTTGGGCTCTTGGATTCCTGTTCCTGGCTGCCCCGCTCGTCTCCGGAAGGCTTGGAAGGTTGGCTGTCCTCCCTCCCCCAGGGCCCGGCTTTCTGTTCCTCATTGGTGGCTTGGGTTGGGAAGAGGCTCCAGGGGAAGGATGGTGCTGGCATCGTTGGGGTGAGTTGTGCTGAGTTCTCACCCTGTGGCCCTTCTGCTGCTGCGATTCCTTTCTCAGAGATCTGCCGGCCTCTCGCACCCAGGACTGAAGGACACCCACAGTGAAACTCCCTGGCAGCAGCCACTTTGCCATGTGGCCGCGATCCTGCGTGTTTTTGAATGGCTCCAGCCCAGAACCCTCCAGCCCAGCCTGTGACTGAAATCCCAGACCCCCGGAGCCCGCACAGCTCTGAGGTTGTTGCAAGTGGGGAGTAGGCTTCGGTTTCAGGTTTGGCTGCTACTTAGCCTTGCCAGGCCCCGCTGAAAAGCAAACCCCTTCCAAGCCAGCCAGAGTTAATGACCCGGGAAAAGAGCTCACGGATCTGGAGAGAGCAATGAGTGGGAAATCACGTACCACAAACCAGCCCCTGGGGCAGGAAACCACAGACCGGAGCAGAGTCTCTGGTGACTTTGTCAGCGTGATGTGTGGCTCTTGGGTCTTGCCTTTGAATTGATCCTGGAAGACAGATGTTCACTGTGCAGTCAGAGTTTCAGCCAAGTGCTGATGACATGTCACATCTTGTGGTATTCATCAGATGTACCATGGTCAATACTTGGCTATTACGCTAACCTGGAGTCATCCATCTCTCTGGAGAGTGACGTGCAATAGGCTGGATGCCAACGTGGGCAAGTCAGAAATGAGCAGATGCACTTTGTGAATGGGAATGTGTCGGTGGTCTGAGGTGTAAGGAATTCAGACCAGTTCTAGTGCAGCACTGACAGCCAGAACCAAACCTGGGGCCTCTGGAGCTTAGTGCAGGAGCTGTTACAGCTTGAGCTAAAGGCCAGCTGGCTCCCAGCGAAGACCATAGCACAAAATCATTATTCTCTCTGTAAGTGGTCTCAGTGCCCCTCCATGGGACAGTGACCCACACGCAGCAGGTGTGTGGGTGACAGTAGCACTGCCCAGCTAGTGTGGAGTGAAACTCGCAGGGCTCAAAGTTCCTGTACAAACAGGATATCTGAATAGGTCACTGGGATTCCCTGGCCTGCCCTTAGGGCAAGGTGAGCAAGGCAGTTGCCTTGGGCCCCACCTGCACCAAGCCCAAGTAAAAGGGAGCTGGTGCTGGGCAAGTTTAAAAACTAGCTCCCCTCTCAGGCCAGCTGCTTGTCACCGCCTCTGATACAGAGGCATCAGTGCGCTGGCAGCCAGC